TGTTCCTCCATTTAGAGTGAAGAGAGATCCTGTTGCAACGGCTATTTTGCTTCCTATGGTATTACTATTTTCTTTCCATCCAAAATCTACTAATCAATTTTTGTTTTAATTAATTTATCATTGTAGGTCGTTAGATGTATAATAGTCCTTAAAAGTTAAAAATAACCGGAAAAAGTATTACTAATAATAATCTGAAAAATATAATTTGGGATCAATCATTATGTAAGATTTATCGCGTAAAATTCTGTTTATGTTCTCAAAGACACCTTATGAGACAGATTTTTTCAATTAACATATTGTGCTAGAATATAAAAGTAGAGTATACTTTGGGATGTAGCTGTTTTCTATAATTTCTATTAAATAATTCTCTCTTTCCCATTACTATTTTATATCTATCTTGAGTGAAAGATGTGATAATTTGTATGACGAAATTAGCTGCTTATATATGCAGATGAGCATTTGTAACTATACTGGTGTACTCTACGCCACCATAACTTCTCTTGGGCTTCCATTCCAGTGGACGTACGCGTAACGATTTTTGTTTCTTTATTAACTATATCACCATGCAGTTTCATTGCAAAAAACTTACAAGTGTAACATTTATTTCGTGTTCGAATAATTTATTTGACAGTCCAATTTTATCGTATGTCCGACTTCCAATTTTCCCTGCAGCCCCCCAAACGTTTTCATCATGACCTATTCTACTTTGTTTTTCTTTGTTATTTGTCTTATTAAAGATATTCCAGACGTCGAAGGTGACAGAAAGTAAGTTGTATATTTATCATGACATTTAATAAACTTAAATTTTTAAAATTTTCTACATTAGTCGCTTTTTAAGTTTAAAAATATGTTTTAGCTTATACATTTATTACTTCAAAAAAATTAACCATTATAGGTATAACATTCAAACGTTTGCGGCAAAATTCGGACCTAAAAATGTTGCATTTCTTGGAACGACCATTATGCTACTAACTTATGCTGGTACTACAGTAGCTGCCATTTACATGTCTCAGGTATTTATATTCAATAGTTTACTATATAGTTACTTTTTTTTCCCTTTGATTTTTGGTGTTACTATATTTTCCCTTCGTCTTCTTTTCCCTCTATTTCTTGCAACTCAACGATTCATTAAAGTAAATTACTAACAAATTAGCTCACTTAATTGATGTGTGAGTGGTTTCCAATAACTGATTAAAAATGATTCCATCGAAGATTTTTTTATTATTATTTTCTCTCAGCAACCGGTCTTTATTTATGTGGAGATTAATTAACCCTTT